TATAACATTGATTCCTAATTTTGCCAAACCCACAAGAGCATTCTCCCAATGTCCAAAGAAAACATATAAATTGAAATGGTTTACTTGAGAGCAAGCAGGTTTTTGGGACTTGCAAGCCTTTTTTCTTTTCCCACTGGGGATCCCTCTCATCCTTTAGTGATGCAAGGAGATGCTCCAGGAAGCCTTGGGCATTGTTTTCTTCCAAGTACTGAAAGAGGATGGGGAAGAGGTCCTGCTTTGTGTATTTTATTCCGGTCTGTTTCATAGAAAGTAACGATGACATTTTCAATAAAGAGTTGCTTGTTATAGAACATATTATTCCAGCAATGGAGATATTTCTTTGGAGGAGTAATCGTTCCTGCTCAGATACGCACAAATTATTTCTCCACTCCTCTACTCACAATAGAATCCCTTATGCCACCAGGCTTGAAATTTTGGGCTTGGACAATCTGGAACTGTGCCGCCTGTGATCTGATCTAAGCATAGTACACAAAATTGTCTGTTACAACATCTTACCTGTCAATGACTTCTTCAGCTTTAACCGCAATAATACATGGGGAAACAATCGATACAAACTCAAGGTAAACCGCTCCAAACTCGATTGCAGAAAATACGACTTCAACAACAGAGTGGTCAACGCCTGGAATGCTCTACCCGACTCAGTTGTTACATCCTCAAACCCTCACAGCTTCAACCTTAAAATGTCTATCGTGGACCTCACCCCATTCCTAAGAGGTCCGTAAAGGGGGCGTGCATAAGCGCACCAGTGTGCCTACCGTCCCTGTCCTACTGTCCCCATTTATTTGTATTCATTTCCCTCATTCATGTCCATGTTCATATTCATACCTGCTATCTTGTACATGTTTGACAAACAAATAAATAAATTGCAAGAATCTGGAGCACCTGCAGAAAGCACCAACCCTCACCAATCCTGACTCACAAATGTTATGAATAGATGCAGTACTATGTAAACCTAAATATGATCTTCTATGTTTATTTTTCCCTGTCATACTCCTATAGCCAATCAGCTTTGCCCTTTCTCTGAGTATAGTAGACCCTCTAGAAAGGTTGAAGGCAGAAAGGTAAGCAGTAGCTCTGTTGAACTGGGTTTGAATGAAACCAGCACTGATTCATACGTCAGGACTTGGATGGATGACCCCTAGGGCACCTCACAGATTAATTCTTCAGTTTCTTTGTGAATAATGGACAAGTGCTTCGCATTGGCCGTTTACATGTTCTCTGTCCACTAAGGGAAAAATATTGCAACTATGCCATAATAATAGAGCTTCTGGAACATGGGATGGTATTTGGAACTTTGCATTGAGTGAGAGAGTTCTGGGGGCCAAGGGTGAAAGCAGATGTCAGGATTACATGATTGCTGTCACCGGGGTGGGTGGGGGGTATTGTTTTTTATAGTTGTATATTGGGTTTTTATTTTTTTGTAAGCCACACAGAGTCACTGAGAGTGAGTGGGCAGCTACATATATTTTCTAAATAAATCCTGTTATATCTGTTGTTTGTCTAAGGCTGTCCCTGGAAAACCAGCAGCTTTCTTCAGACACCCTTTCAGTTTACTTTCAGCTCATAATCTCCTGGACCTTGGGATCCTGTAAAAAATGAATTTTCTTATTGTGATTCCACATGCACAGGGTTATTCAAACATTTTTGCGACAGTGGATTTGCTTACCAACATGGCTTATTTTATTCCTGGCAGGAGCCTTCCATTAGCTTAGAAGTTTACACAACCACACCCCATTTTAGGCATAGGGACTTAACTAATCATGGTATTTATACAATTTATACAAAAGTTTTGAAAGTTTTACATCAGTTGACACTGATTTACATTTTGTTTTGGATGTTTCTCTTCCAGTGAGTAGAGAGAGTATAGTGGTTAAGGCACCAATTTTGAAACCAGGAGATGGTAAATTCTTGTCCTGCTTTAGGCACAAAACCAGTTTTGGGCCACTCACTCTCTCTCAGCCCCAGAAAAAGTTTTCTGAAAAACTTTACCAAGAAAACTGCAAGGACTGGTCCAGGCAGTCACCGGGAGTCAAAAATTGACTCAAAGTACTGCACACAGAGACATCCTTCCAGTGAGTACACATTCAGTTTCAGTGGCCATCTTTGCATCATCCAGTCTTGAACGAGAAAACAAAGAAAGTGAATCAGTCATCAGAACAATACTAGGCATGTTACGCCTCTTATCAACAGGACAATTGCAGTGAAAGTTGCCTCTTGCAGGATAGGCTTATACAAATTAATTCCTCCACAAGCACGTTTGTCTTTCAAGCAGTCTGTGGTTACCATTCCTGCATCTTGCTTTCCAGAATTCCGGTCTCCATTGTGTCATGCCCTACTGACTTTCCACTGGAACATAGGCTACTCAGTTCCTCAGATTTGGCCAAGGCTAGCTGCATAAAAATGGCCTGCAGATGTCCATAGGCAAGAGGATGCCAAGACTGGGGTTGGGGTGTATGTGTTGATATAACTATCTATTATGTGTTTGTCTTCTGCCCACCCATATAAAAAGCTGAACTCTAAATCATATTGGTTTTTCCCAGTTACATAGCAGAGTAATCCAGGGCCCTTTCATTAACAATTGCCTGCTTCGGTAAAAAAAATCATTTGGTCTTCAACTCATCACTGTTTTTTTCTTCTTCTGGGGAACCTCCCTGCCCCTTGCATTCAAAAGAAACTCTCCCTTCCCCTCCCCCCCCATCGCCCTCAGGTTCTTTGGTTGGGGAACAAGAGTATGAAGTGGAATTTATTCTGGAATCTAAATGCAAGAGAAGACATTTGACACATCATATTCACTGGACTTACTACCCTGAATAAAACAAAACACTCAGCAAGAAGGAATTGGGTAGGCACAAACAAAAAAAGTGATGACAATGCAAAAGAAGCCTTGCAGTACATCCGTATATAGCCTTATAGAAAACTTTAGCTAACTTGGCTGGGGAGCCTGCTGCATAGTAGTTAGTTTGGTACAGCAGTGGAATCACCAAAGTTTACTGTGAGTTTTCAACACCAACAGAACAAAACTAGAGGTTAGCCATCTGTCAGCTTTGAAACAACCAGTAGAGCAATTCCTAGGGGCCAGCATTCCAACTACAGAAGCTTGTGCGAATTTTGGAAACTGAACTTCAGTTGAAGTACAGAAGATGATTATAATTAATGCAATTCACTCTATAAAGAACTGCAAAGCAAAATGTTCAAGAAAATGTTTATTTCAATAAAGAGTCTAATTCTTTCTCTCCGAGGAATACATTCTGTTGTTTTTCCAGCAAGAAGAAGAAGAAAAATACTAGCAAATGAATAGCAAATACTGGTAATTAGGACACTGTACAAGATGGAAATATTTTGGGGCTTCTCCGGAATCAAAATCCAGGACAAGAGTGTCTTTAATCTGTCAACAGCCTTGAGTCCTGTTAGTATATCTATATAGCGTATCTGACTAGTTAAGTAATTAATACATTCTCTGCCACAGACGCCAAAGATTTGCAGAGTTTAATCCAGTAACTGGTCATATCCCATAGTTCTGCATTTTATTTTAATCATTTTGAAAATACAAGCATTTTTCTGATAAGCAGGAACATAATGTTCCTCTTACTTTTTTTTCTCTGCACTCATGATCAGATGACTAAAAGATCATAGCACAGTCATTAAAAACAACTAATCTGTTTTGGAGAATAACGATGCCAGTTGTATTCCGAATAATCCATTTTGTATTTTCTTCTTCTTCTTAATATGCATGCCCATTATTGATTATTGGCAATTCTTATAGATTTACATGCCATAATCTGATATCCTAGTACTATTTTTAATTATTTCAAATCCAGTTATATTTCACTAATGGATTTTTAAAAAATGTTTTGTGTAGTCCTATCACAAATGGATTCAGGACCAACATGCTTGTGTTACTGAGAATCTTTACTTACTTAACTCTTTCTATTGTGTGGTTGGCTTATCCTAAAACTATCCCAAGTGAATAACAACACTGTCACTGTCAACTAAAAATCAGTAAGAAAAAATCTGTAACCATTCATAGGCCATTTTGGGATTCCGACCCCCCCCCCACCTCCTAATGATGTTTAATTGTCATTCTATACTTTTAAAAAAATTAACCCTAATTTAATTTTTAATTTTAATGTTACTTGTATACATTGTTTTATTTGTTGGTTATATTATGTTGTACACTGCTCAGAACCCCTCTTTAAGGCAGATGGGTGCTTTAGAAGTGTGAAATATAATTAAATAAAATAATATAAAAGCAAATGAAACCCAACAGCACCAGGGAAAGAAAATACACTCACTTAGCTAACTTAGTCATAGCCAGGACACAATGCCAGCCAAATGAATAGTCTCAGTTCAATTTTGCTTAAGTTTCATTACTGGATCAGCTTCTTTTATCATATTCATATCATCATTAACTATGAGAAGTGCAACTAAGCTTTACATGCCGGTACCTGATTTAATTTTGTTTTGCCAGAATACCAGTGGGCAGGTTAATCTGCCTGTTCCTCTTGAAACAAGATAGTTTAAAAAAAAAAAAAAGTTTGTAAAATTCCACTGCTGAGCTGTGTTCCCCCCCCCCCCCCCCATTTTATTTTTTTTCTGGTAATGTGCCTGAATCATCCAGCCTGCGTCTGAATCATTGTGGTATCTTCTTTCCATGTGATTCAAAGTATAATGTAACTGGAGGAAAACACTCTTTGTTATCCTATAGCTAAATGCTTGCTTCTTCAGTGCCTGAACTTTATTTAACGTTCACACATGAAATCTTGTGTGTGCATTTTACGCCCTTCTGATTTGGCATTTAAAAATGTCACAGGCTGTAGCTCTATATCTCTATCATGTCATTTGCTTTCTTGTCTTATTATTCACATTTTCCCCCTTCCGTATTCATATAAACATAAGAACAGTGTGCCTGCCAAGTGAGGGTAACAGACCATGCATCTGATGAAGTGAGCTTCATAAAAAATCATGCCACAGTCAATCTGTTCTTCCTAAAATGTTTTATCAAGATTTTGTATTTGCTCCTGTAAAACATTAACACGGCCATTAGTTCCTCATACTAAGATTTTATATATAGAGAAAAAGCCTAGTATTGCAAAAGGCCCATGAATGGCTGCTTAGAGACTCCCACTAAAGTGATACAAGAGCTGGAAGCAGGGGTGAGATTACTGAAGGGACAACATCAGGGTTACCATGTGCATCATCCTTTTTTCTTGTTAAAGTTTATTTGGGGATAGCGCACCTCTACTGTGATATAAAAGTCCTGTAGTAACCTGCAAGGAAGCAGCTATAGGCTTTTATGTTGGCCAAAAGCCTTTTGGAAACCTTCTCCAATTCTGTTTGGAAGTGTTTGGCTTCATGAATACTATGGCAGGGAGGCTGTGAATCCACAATGAAGGTTTTGTTGTCACGATGTAAAAAAGATGTTGAGACTCTAGAAAGAGTGCAGAGAAGAGAAACAAAGATGATTAGGGGACTGGAGGCTAAAACATATGAAGAACAGTTGCTGGAATTGGGTATGTCTCATTTGATGAAAAGAAGGACCAGGGGTGACATGATAGCAGTGTTCCAATATCTCAGGGGCTGCCACAAAGAAGAGGGAGTCAAGCTATTCTCCAAAGCACCTGAGGGCAGGACAAGAAGAAGGAACTAAGGAGAAATTTCCTGACAGTGAGAACAATTAATCAGTGGAACAACTTGCCACCAGAAGTTGTGAATGCTCCAAAGCTGGAAGTTTTAAAAGAAGAGATTGGACAACCATTTGTCTGAAATGGTATAGGGTTTCCTGCTTAAACATGGGGTTGGACTGGAAGACCTCCAAGGTCCCTTCCAACTCTGTTATTCTATTCTATTCTATTCTATTCTATTCTATTCTATTCTATTCTATTCTTTCCCTCCATGTGTGTATTTTCTGATAGGGCCCACAAATCTGAAAGGATGAAACCAAGGCTTAGGAAGCTATAAAATACCAATGCCGAATATGTACAGATCCTATGAAATTATATAGCATGAATATATATTATATTTATATAATAACATTTAATATAAACATAAGAACAATGGTGGCAGGAACTGGGCATGTATAGTGTAAGGAAAAGAAGGACTGGGGGGGGGGGGTGACATGATAGCAGCCTTCCAATATCTAAGGGGCTGCCACAAAAAGAGGGAATCAACCTGTTCTCCAAAGCAGGGCAAGAAGCAATGGATGGAAATGAATCTAGGAGAGAGAACCAACCTAGAAATAAGGAGAAATTTCCTGAAAGTTAGAACAATTCATCAGTGGAATGGCTTGCCTCCAGAAGTTGTGGGTGCTCCATCATTGGAGGTTTTTAAGAAGAGAAGTCCAATCTCAAACTTCTTGAGATTTGTCTCAAATGGTATAGGTTTTCCTGCTTGAATAGCAGATTGGACTAGAAGACCTCAAAGTTCCCTTCCAACTCTTATTCTTCTCTTATCCCTTCAAACTCTTAGTACATGATAGCCAGGGCCATAGTATTGCACTGAAAAATATAAAACAGTAGAGTAGGGAAATAAATAGCAGTGTAGGAAAATGCTATAGAAAGAAGTTTGCTCTGTCTTGATCCATTGACCACAACCAATGGACCAAGACAGAGCAAACCTCTTTCTATAATATTTTTCTACACTGCTATTTATTTCCCTACCTTACTGTTTCTACGGTTCACGGAGATTGGCATTACCTGCTGCAGCATTCTTCTCTTTATTTTTAAAGAGAGATAATGGCTATTTAGCTACTCATTGAACCATAGGGCCAGAATGGACCTTAGAAGTCTTCTAGTCCAACCCTCTGCTGAAGATAGGAGACTCTACCATCCCAATCAAATGGTTGTGTGGTCTATTCTGGGAAACTTCCAGTGACTGAGCATCCACAGCTCCTGGAGGCAAGCTGTTCCATTGATTAAGTGTTCTCAATATCATAAAATTTCTCCTTACTTCTAGGTTGGATCTCTCTTTCACAAGCTTCTACCCATTAGTACTTGCCTTAAGTCAACTCCCTCTTCTCTGTGATAGGCCCTCAAGCACTGGAAGATGGCTAGTATGTCATGCCTAATCCTTCACTTTGATAGGCCAAACATACCTTGTTTCTTGAACCATTCATATGGTTCAGCTTCCAGACCCCTTATCAACTTTGTTGCTCTTTTTTATTTTTTTATTAAAAAGTTTTATCAAGTATTACAACAATTTTTTCCCATCCCTCCTCCCCCCCCTTCCCTCCTCCACCCACCCCCCATCCCTCATCTCCCCTCTCCCTCCAACCCCCCTCCCCCCACCCATCCACCCCGGACTTCCCAGAGCAAATACAGGGTATAACATTTAACAAAAATAAACTAAAATATGCTAACTTTCTGTAGGCTCCAAACTCCCTCTTGCTCTTTAACTCCCCTTTTAACTAACAAAACATAATTCAAAAAGAAAATGTTGGTTTCATTCATAAGCTATTTGAAACTTTTTAGTCCGATATTTGTTTTGAATATAGTCAATCCATCTTCTCCATTCTGATATATATCTTTCATTTGAATGGTCCTTCAAGTATGCCGAAATTTTTGCCATCTCTGCTAAATTCACTACTTTTAATGTCCATTCTTCAATAGTAGGTAAGTCTTCCTTCTTCCAATACTGTGCCACCAAAAGTCTGGCTGCTGTTATTAAATTTAAAATCAATTTAGTCTCTATGACCGTACAATCTGTAATTATACCCAACAGAAAGAACTGTGGAGTAAATTTTATCTTCTTTTTGAGAATGTTTTGGATAATCCACCATATTTTTATCCAAAAATGCCTTAATTTTTTTACATGTCCACCATATATGATAATACGTGGCATCATCACATTCACATCTCCAACACTTAGGTTGCAAACTTGGATACATACAGGCTAGCTTTTTAGGATCTAGATGCCATCTATAAAACATTTTATAAAAATTCTCTCTTAAGTTTTGGGCTTGCGTAAACTTTATATTTCTAACCCATATTTTTTCCCACGTTTCCATCATTATTGGTTCTTCAATATTTTGTGCCCATTTTATCATACAATCCTTAACTACCCTTATACAACCTTTTTATATGCCTTTGACTTTGGTCTCTAATTTGTTTTACCAAGTTCTCCTCATTTTGCGAGATACCAATTTTCTGATCTTCTCTCCATCTAGCTTGCAGCTGTCCATACTGAAACCATGTTTGAATTATCCTTTCTTCTCTTAATTGATTCAAAGATTTTAGTTGTAATATACCTCCTTCCTTATTAAGAAGCTCTTTATAAGTAATCACATCTTGTTTTTGCTCTACACTTATATTCTCTATCGCGTGTCTGGGTATTGCCCACATTGGTAATTTATCATTTAATTTATACTGATACTTTTCCAGACACGCAGTAAAGCATTTCTTAATATATAACTTTTAAAAATCTTGTCCACTTTCTTATCATATAATAAATAAGCATGCCAGCCGTAAACCAAATCATATCCCTCAATATTCAATATTCTTTCTTCTGTTGAATTCATCCAGTCACTAATTGCTGACAGAGCAGCTGCCTCATAATATAATCTTAAATTGGGCATTTTGAGACCTCCTCTTTCACGTATATCCTGCATTATTTTTTGTTTTATTCTCGGTCTCTTCCCTGCCCAGACAAAATTATTAATACCCTTCTGCCATATCTTCAAATTCTCATCTTTTTAAAGTATTGGTATCATTTGAAAAAGAAACAAAAACTTTGGCAAAACATTCATTCTTCCTAACAAAGATAATTGTCATTTTTTCCAATTTTCCATCTCTCTCTGTATTTTTTGCCACAACAGATCATAATTATGCTTAAATAATTTCGCATTTGATGTCATAATATAAATCCCTAAATACTTAACTTTTTTTACTATTTCAAATCCTGTTAGTCTTTCTAATTCATCTTTTTGATTTGTAGTCATATTTTTAGTTATTATCTTCGTTTTCCCTGCATTTATTTTAAATCCAGATACTTGTCCATATTGATTAATTATATCCATTAAACCTACAACCGACTGTAATGGTTGGGTTAAAGTAACAACCAAGTCGTCTGCAAATGCTCGTAATCTGTAGTCATACTGCCTAATTTTAATTCCATTTATTTTATCCAACCCACATATCTTACTCAACAAAAATTCCAAAGTCAAGATAAACAATAATGGAGACAAGGGACATCCTTGTCTTGTTCCTTTTTCTATATTAAAAGTATCTGTTAAACTACCATTAACTATTATTTGCGCTGTTTGTTTCTGATATATTGCCTTTATAGATTGTGTAAAATATTCTCCAAACTGCATCTTTTCTATTATTTTCAATAAGGAATGCCAATTCAATTGATCAAATGCTTTCTTCGCATCAAGAAATATTAGCACCGCAGGGATTTGGTTGTTCTTCCCCAGGTACTCTAATAGGTTAACAACTTGCCTTACATTACTCTTCATTTGTCTACCATTTATAAAACCAGTTTGATCATTATGAATCATTTGTTGCAACACTGTCATTAACCTATTTGCTAGTATTTTAGCAAAAATCTTGTAATCTGTATTTAAAAGTGATATAGGCCTATAATTTTTTGGCTGGGTGTGGTCTTGCTCCTTCTTTGGAATCAGAAAAATAAAAGCTGTCCTCCAGGATGGGGGTCCATCTCCTCCAGATTGTATGTTAGTAAATAATTCTTTGAGTGGTCCCACCATTTCTAACTGCAAGTGTTTATAATAAGCAGCTGTCAAACCATCTGTCCCAGGGGCTTTACTCACTTTCAACTGCTTAATTGCAAACATAATCTCCTCGGAAGTTATTGGTTGATTTAAACCCTCCCTTTGCTCTTTTGTAATTATAGGAATATTCTCTTTCTGTAAGTATCTATCTATATCTATACTTTGAATTTTATCACTAGCATACAACCTCATATAAAATTCTAAAAATGCTTTTTTAATCATATTTTACTGATAAAACTCTTTACCTTTATATTCTATTTTCTCTATGGTCCGTGACTTCTGTTTTTTCCTTAACAAATATGCTAACCATCTCCCTGGTTTATTAGCATTGAAACTTTGTTGCTCTTCACTGCACACTTTCTAAGATCTCAGCATCTCTTTTGTATTGGAGTGGCCAGAACTGGACACTGTATTCCAACCTGTGGCCTCAGCATATATGCAGTATATGCTGTTGTAGTTATTATTTCACTATTTCTTTTAAAAGCATGCTAGACCTTTCAGTAACAAAAGGACTACGATTGCTCTCCATATATCTGTTACAGCAAGACTGCACATGCTCAGATTATCTCTAGTTAAATCCAAGTTTTCAAACTTTTTTTTTTTTTTTTGCAAGGATATAGAAGCAGCAATGAAATGTGGAAAACTGGTCACGGGGGATAATCTGAAAAGAGAAATGTGAATTCTTTGTATCAAATGGTCAT